CATTGAATATCGAACAATACGTCAATTTCAATGATTTTGGGTTTTTTTGAGACACCCTGTACAAAACAGTAAAAATAGTAAAGAAGGTTGGAATACATTAAATAATCTGCTTAATGTTAATGAACTTAGCGTAGACCATGGAAAAAATGTAACACAAGATAAAGATATAGTCGACGAGTTTAATAAATTCTTCACTCCTATAGGTCCCAAATTAGCAAATAACATTGCTGACAATGGCTGTAGTCCTGATCCTTTGTCATATATAGACCAAGTCACAAATGTATTTCACTTTCATAGCATATCAAGCTATGAGCTGAAAAGAGAAATACAAAATATGCAAATGGAAAATCTACAGGTCTAGATAAGATCTCAACTAAGCTAATAAAACAGGCAGGCGATACAATAACTGAATCACTCCCAGAAGTGTTTAACCTATCTCTTAGGACAGGAATATTTCCAGATGATTGGAAATTTGCCAAAGTGACTCCAATATATAAGTCAGAAAACAAAACCTTATGTGAAAACTATAGACCGATATCAGTCATTTCGAATATCGCCAAAATATTTGAGAAATTAGTCTGTACACAACTAAATACCTTCCTGGACAACAACAACAACATAATTGTAAAAAATCAATCAGGTTTCCGTCGCAATCACTCAACCGAAACCTCGTTACTACAATCCACTGAAATGTGGTTGAAATCAATGGACCAGGGTCAAATAAATGGGGTTATTTTCTTAGACCTGAAAAAAGCATTTGATACGATTGATCACCAGATTCTATTGTCAAAACTACAAGCTTATGGGATACGCAACCACACGCTCAAATGGTTCCAATCGTATTTAGATCAAAGAAAGCAAATTTGCATGCTAAATAACTGTAAATCTGATATTGAAACAATTCGTTGTGGAGTACCTCAGGGGTCAAATCTTGGACCTCTATTATTTCTCATTTACATAAACGACCTCCCAAACTGCCTAGAAACAACACACTCTAATTTATTTGCTGATGACACAATTTTATCATGTCAAGGGCATTTATCCATAGATATTGAATACAAACTTAACAAAGACCTAGTAAATGCTCAAAAATGGTTATCAGCGAATAAACTAACATTAATCAACGAAAAAACCAAATATATGATTATTGGATCTCGGTAACGATTGAAAAACTTAGATCACGTGCCAAAAATCAGTATAAACGGACATCAAATTGAACGAGTTTATAAAAAGGAAGCTTTGGGTATAGTTATAGACGATAGACTTAGCTGGAATAGGCAAAATGAAGAACAATGCAACAAGATATCAAAAAATATTAATCTTTTAAGAAAAGCCAAAGATTTTGTTGGCCTAGATACGCTCAAAATTATGTATAACGCATTAGTCGCGCCTCATTTTAACTATTGTTCAACTGTTTGGCAAAATAACAACCAAACGCAGCAAGAATAATAACAAATTCGGACTATACTATAAGATCTTCGGACATTTTTCAAAAACTTAGCTGGAAACCTCTTGACTTAATTTTGAAAAAGCGAGATCTCCTTATGACATTTAAAGCGATTAACGGCATGCTTCCAGAATACGTAACACAACTATTTCACACTTGTGGAAACAATGGTTACGTACTGCGCAGTGTTAATTTAAAGCTGTCTCAACCTAAACCAAAAACGAATTTCTTGAAAAATAGCTTTTCGTACAGAGGAGCAGCGTATTGGAACAACATCCCAATAAACTTGTTGAAAACCCTAAGCGAATCAACAAGTTTAAAATCTGTCCATCATCTATTAAATAATTACATCTTGTAAATAAGTAAATAAGTAAATAAGTATATTTTGTAAATAAGTATAATTTAGTTTATTAGTTCCTTATTTTATAATGCATTTATTTTCCTCACGGCCCTTTGAAAATCACCTATGTGAAAGGTTACCGTATTTAAAGATCAATAATAATAATAATAATAATAATAATAATATCAGACATGTGATCAGCGCCGCCGCAGACAAAACAAATTTGACGCGCGAGACCCGTGAAATTATCTAGCCAAAGCAGGAGATGGCGTTCACCCCAATTAAGCAGCAAGTTTTCGAAAATCAATATCGTAAGCGTACCATGCGAGGCCTTTAAACTTTTGCGAAGCTTCGCAGATTATGCGCTAGTAGGCAAACAGCTGCCCGCCTTATGTGGAAATTTAGCGACAACCACGGACGCGTAAATACCAAAAGCGGTAAGCCACTTATCTATGTTCTCAACGGCTTTTGCGCGCTTTCGAAATTTGACTAGGGGGTCACCCTCTACGGAAAGGCGAATAGGAGAAAACTAGTCCAATGGCGAAGATGTCGACGGCTGCGACGAAAGGAGGTTCGCAACTTGTGATTGATTACCAAGGTCTAGAGGCGGCGTTGGAGCGTTTTGAGCGGGAAAACTTGACAACGGCGGTGGTTGAGGTTGCATAGTTGGCGGTGACCCATTTTGTTGGGCCAAAACGTCGCGGAGAAGAGGAACAAGGTTCGACGCAAGCGAGCGGAGAGATTTGGATGAGTATTCCAGTGTTGAGCTGGGTCTCAGATCGGCACTCGATGCAGCTGGGATTTCTGCTCCATCGTGATCGGCAAGGCGACGAAGAAGCGTATCGCGCGAACCAGAAAGCGCGAGATTTTGTTGCGCCAGGAGGAGATGAAGAACCTCCGTTAATAAATTGGCGTAGACCGCGTAGTTCACCCCAGCTGTACTCGACGGCGTCGTCGAATTTTCACCAACATCTGCATTCTGCAGCCTGTTGTTGAACCACGAGTTGGTCCTGAACAACGCTTGCCTTTTTCTTTAGGCATTGTAAGTCAACAATATTTAATTTTTTCCCCAAATTTTCCCTTTTTTTCCAAGGTTTTATCCCTTGAATTATAAGCTAATATTATATTATGTGGTAGCGAAGCAGAGCAGACGTGTATTTTGTGCTCCGCTAAATCTCAAGTTCGAAATCAAAGCAATCTACTAAAGCGGCAATGAAAATCTATGTGAATAACAGTCGAAGTGTAACACTTTGTGCCTTAGAAGTTGAGTCGAACACTACGGTTGAATGTGTGCAGAATAAAATTCAGGAGAAGCTAGAAATTCCCTCAGAACAGCAACGACTTTTCTTCACAAAGTACTCGACATTGAGAAAACGCTAGGCGGCTATGAAATATGTAATGGGTCGTCTATAAAGCTGGAATTCACATCGTCTACTACATGAGATGAAGCAACAGCATATGGGGATGGATTAAAGATTACAGATAAGGGAACCCTGAAGTGGCTCGGTAGCTTTGAAAGCCTAAAATATCTCGTCGAGAAATTGCAATTACCAAAAGCCAAATGGATGACTCCAGGCGGTGGCTCGAAATTGTATGAATGCGAAGAGTTTTCTGTGCGCTGGTATTCAACTAATGGAACACTCACTTTCAAGGGAAATAAAGCCAGTGAAATTAAAGCAAACTTCATCTCCATCTTGGAAAACGAAGTAGGAGAGATTAGCCAAAGTCAAGACGAATTGCAATATAGCAGTGATTTACATATTCATATTTATATATTCAATAAAAACTAATGGCCCGTCCACAAACTATCCCACGTGTGACTCAACATGCAGTAATTTAGAACAATATCTATTGATAAACGATCTCATGAGTAAATTCATGCAAAGAATAGACGACAAGGTCGAGGGGATTTCGCAAGAAGTAAACAATCTGAAGGCCAATACAAGTCAACCAGAACGAATTGATCTGATCAACAACCTCAAACGGGAAATAGACGAACTTAAAAATGAAAACTTAGAATTACGCCAAAGGAATGCGACTATATCGTACGCTATGGCAGACTTGCAAACTAAAGTTAAAGACAAGGAGAACGAAAAAAACAATTAAGCTGGTTCAACTCGATCAATCCAAACCTAGTGGAACCAAAAATCAAGTTGACACCTGGCATGTTGTTCGAAATAAGAAACCAAACGTTAGCAAGGATGCCCACAAAACGGCCGCCGGTATCTCGGATGTTAACAGATATGAAGTCCTTAGTGACAGCATAGTTAATAGAAAATAAACATGGTTTGGAAGCTTGACAAAAGTCATTGTTCTATGTTTTTGTCCAACTTTATGGAAATTTGTGCACTCGGATTCTGTATAATGAGGCGATTACCCAATAAAAACCTTAGTTTCAATCGCTGAACCCTAATATTTGAATATTAATAAACGCAAGACAAAAGATGTGTGCACCCGGAATTACATTTCAACATCAGTTGAAGTTTGAATAGGAAATTCTTTGAAGTTTACCGGCCTTCCTAACCATGTTTATTTCTATTAACTATGGTGACAGCGATGTAGAACCAACAGAAGGACAACGCCCGCCTTATGTCAGACCGATCACGACCCACAAGAATCCTGGCAATAAAGAATCAACTTTTGACAAAACTCTTATTACCGATTCTCCACCCCAGAATAGCTATTCCAAATCCAAGTCCAAGACATCCGAAGGTCCCATAACAATCTTAGGGGATTCCATGATAAAGTGATTAAACCACCTAAACTGAGTCGATCAATAGGCGAAAAAGTCAACATCAAAACATTTCCTGGAGCAACAATTAACGACATGAACCACTACATACAACCCACAATGAAGAAACAACCCAAACTGGTGATTCTACATGTACACTCTAAAAACACTCTGGTTAAATTTGGGTTAATTCAACCAGGCCAGGATGGGGTTAAAAATCCACCTACACAATCCTGGTTAAAAAAATTAAACCATTTTCCTGGTTAAAAGTCCAAAGAAGTATGGCCAGATTTTTGTTGAATCAATAATTTTTAACCAGGAAATCAGTTAATTTAACCAGGAATGTGCTAGGTAGTTTATTGATCCAGTTCCTGGTTGAATTTAACCAGAGTGTTTTTAGAGTGTAGGGACTAATGACATTCAACGTAAAGAACCCGACGAAATTGTAGCCGAAATTAAATCCTTATGTGAAGGTATCGTGTCCCAAAGTTTGTCAAAAATAGCTATTTCCGAAATAATTAAGAGACAGGACCCGGTTATCAACATTAAGATAGATAAAACTAATTCGCTACTAGCTAAGGTCTGTGGTAAATTCAGGTGGCAGTTTATTCGGCATACTAACATAGATGCTTCTAAATTAAATGCATCTGGATTACATTTGAATAGCCAAGGAACGGCAATGTTAGCAAAGAACTTGATCGAATCCCTCAAGAATTGACTAAATGAACTCAAACCTAGCGATATTGACGATATTGACTATTTTTACAAAATTATAAAATCAATTAACATAGGTGGTAACACTAACAATATTGAATTAAGCAGAATGTGCGAAACTAGAAAGTCAACCCTACGCTATGAGCACAATTCAAATTTAAATTATATTGACAATCAACATGACCGGTTAGTTCCGGCTATCCGAGGATTCAAAATAGCTTCTTTGAACATAACAAGTCTACCAAAACACCAGCCTAGACCTAGGCCTTCTAGTCTTATTTATATTTTTTCATATTCAGCGCTTTTTCACATGAAAAGAATGGGACTAGGTGATTTTGGGGGCGGAGCGGAGGAACCAAGCCTAGAAGGCCTAGTTGATTTCCCAACAACATGGCCAAAACTGCCCTGAAACTGCCCTGGTTGCGAAATGCCCAATTATTGCGTTCTCAAACAGAATTACTTGCAACTTAACGGCGAATTTAAACCGATACAGGTAAAATAAACTCATTTATAGTATAAACTTACTATTTTTATTTGTATACACGTCTAGAAAATCGGGGGTTTTATCATAAAGTTCGAAGCAACACTATTATTTAATATGTTGACATTTACTTGACAAGGTGTAGCGAAAGCACAAAATGAGTCAAAATATATACCAAAAGTAGAATCTTTCATGAAATTTTGTCTTATACACAACTACATTAATATAGTATTTTCTCAATTTTGGCAAGAAGCAGTCTTGTGTTTGTAAAATATACAAACACATATACAATTATATTTTATTAAATAAAACGGATACATATATTATTAGCCCGTACAGTACTGTATATAAAAACGTACATTGTTTACAAATGGTATATCCGTAATATTTGAACAATAATTTCAAATTCCTCATTCCCAAATATAGTTATTCAAAGCAAAACAGTAGATTGTCTTGCGAATAAAAGAATTATTATTTTGTGCTTTCGCTTCACCTTGTCAACATAATAATAGTGTTGCTTCAAACTTTATGATAAAAACCCCGATTTTCTAGACGTGTATACAAATAAAAATAGTAAGTTATACTATAAATGAGTTTATTTTACTTGTATCGGTTTAAATTCGCTGTTAAGTCGCAAATAATTCTGTTTGAGAACGCAACAATTGGGCATTTCGCAATCAGGGCAGTTTCAGGGCAGTTTTGGCCTTGTTGTTGGGAAATCCACTAGGCCTTCTATTTTTTCGCTTTCGTCAGGCTTGTATCCTTCCTCCGCCCCGCCCCCAAATCTCCTAGTCCCAGTCTTTTCATGTGAAAAAGCGCTGAATATTAAAAAAATATCAATAAAAATAGAAGGCCTAGGTCTAGGCTGCCAAAACACATTGACGAACTTCGGATCTGCATGAATGATAAAAAAATAGATGTTCTTGTAATTAATGAAACACGAATGGACGATAGTCTGCCAATCGAGTCAATAGCCATTCAAGGTTACAATTGGATTCCCAAAAACAGAAATAGATCTGGGGGTGGTATCGGTTTTTTCATTAGAGATTCAATAAATTTTCGACCTCGAACTGACCTGAATAATCATGATATTGAAATTCTTACAAAAATTAGTAAACATAACATTAAACCGTTCTTAATTACAACGTGGTATCGACCACCAAATGATCCAATTGACACCCTTTATAGATTTGAGAACTGTTTACAACTAATAGACAATGACAATAAAGAAAGTATTATCCTAGGAGATGTAAATTATGACTTCTTATCCACAAGTCTATCTCCCCAAGCTTCGGAACTCAAATTTATTACAGGACTGTATCAATATGAACAATTGATAAGTGAACCTACAAGAGTTACTAAAGATACTCGGACATTAATTGATCACTTTTATACAACAAATCATGAT